CTGGATCCCCCAATCCCTGGATCCCCCAATCCCTGGATCCCCCCAATCCCTGGATCCCCCCGCCCTTCCCATCACGCCCCGCTGCCCGCAGTGCATGCCGGGAGTTGTAGTCCGTCACCACCCGCCCTCCGCTGGCCCCGCCCCTCCTGAGCGCTCCGGGGAACGGCGGGGCGGGGCCGGCCGTGACTGACGCGTAGCTGAGCCTATGGGGGCGACGATATCTAGCGGGGGCGGGGCAGTTTCTGACTGACGTGTGTGTGATCCAATAGGCGCGGCGGGCGCGGGCGGGGGCGGGGCGGGGGCGGCCCGGCCCGGCCCGGCTCGGCTCAGGTGGGCGGTGGGGCCGGCGGGGCTGACCCGGTGCGGGGCTGGGCCCGGCGGGGCGGGGCGGGCTCGGGCCGCGGGGCCCGGCGGGGCGGCGGCGCTTTGTGCGGGCGGGAGGGCGGAGCAGGGCCGTGTCAGCCGCGGGGGCGCTGCGGGGCCGGGCCGAGCCCTTCCTCCGCCTCCTCCTCCTCCTCCTCCTCCTCCTCCTCCGCCGCAGGTCCCAGCGCGGCCCCGGCGGAAGATGCGCGGCCGGCGGTGAGCGGCGCGGGGCAGAGGCCGCAGCCCAGGCCGGCGGGCGGAGGATGCGGGCCGGGCCGCGCCGGCCCTGAGAGGCAGGATGGGCACCCAGGGCAGCCCCGTGAAGAGCTACGATTACCTGCTCAAGTTCCTGCTCGTGGGCGACAGCGACGTGGGCAAGGGCGAGATCCTGGAGAGCCTGCAGGACGGCGCCTCCGAGTCCCCCTACGCCTACAGCAACGGTAAGGGGGCTGGGGGGGCCGCGGGACCCCTGCCGGTTTCACCGTCCTCATTGTCACCCCCCGTCGCTGTCACCCCCCCTGTTGCTGTCACCTCCCATCGCTGTCACCCCCACTGCTGTCACCCCCCAACCCGCGGGCTGTGCCCCCTCCCCGGGGCCGTGCCCCCCGCCGGGCTGGCAGGCAGACAGGCAGGCAGGCAGGCAGGGAGGGGTTGTTTTGCTTTTTCCCTTTGTTTTTATTTTCCCTCACGCGCGTGGCGGGCAGCGGAGAGGCCTCGGCAGCTCCTTAAAACGCCCCAGATGTGGAGGGGGACGCGGGCAGAGGGGCCGGGGGTGATGTAATCCCTGGATGCGCAGCCGGACCCTTCCCCGGGCAGCGCTGCCCGCGCCTCCCGGTGCCCGCACGGACCGAGCCCTTCCCGGGGGAAGCGGGAGCTGTAACAAAAGAACCGGAGCCGATTCCCTGCCCGGGGCCGCTCCGGCTTCGGCGGCCGCGCCGGCAGGGCTGGGTTGGCCGATCCGCCTCCTGCCAGCGTCGAGGCTCCCGGTGGAGCCCTTGCCGGACCATTAACTACGGTGTCACAAGACCGTCGTTAAGAGCCAAGGAGTGGCGCGGTTTCCTGCAGTCCCGGCGGAGCTCGGCCTGGCGGGGTGCGCGTCCTGCCGGGGGGTTCAATCTGTCATCCTTCCCCCCCCCACTCCGTGCCCGGTGACCTCCCCGAGGGCTCGGACCCTGCGTCAGGAGCAGGTGGTGCTGAGTTTTTCCTGGCAGCAGGAATCCGAGGGAATCGGGAGCTCCCGAGGCTCCGCTTTGGCCGAATTCGGAGCCGCTCCTCTGAGCCACCACCGGTCCCCAGGAGCTGATGCAAACACGCACCTGCTCCACGGAGAGTCACAGGCAGCTCCTGTGAATTCACTCCTGGTGACTCAGGAGTCGGGCTGCCTGTGAAATGGGAGCAGCAGCTCTGGAAGGATAGGGCTGTGGGATTGTTCATCTCCTCGGGTGTCTGCCTGGGCTGGTGTGGTTTACCTTCGAGGAGGTGCTGGGAGCTTTAAGAGCTTCCCTGAAGAGAGTTTGTACCTCAGCTGGGAGCTGTGGAGCTGGTCGGTGGGGTTGGGGTTTGCCAAGCAGAGTGTAACAGGGTGGTTGTTCTGTGTGAAGTGTCACAGTTGGAATTGTCTCCTGATGGAACTGGGTTTGAAGCAGGAATAAGGAGTGAGTGGAGTGTGTGGTGGGGTGTCTGGTATATACATACCCCCCAAAGAACAGGGAGTGTGGCTGTGCCTATCAAAGCTTTGTCTTGGAACCTGCTATTTTATAACAACAAAACACCAACATCTTTTTGCTGGAAAAAGAGATCTCAGTGATCTAATATTTTCACCCTCCGTGGGCAACTGAACCCATTCCTAATTAGAGAATTAGGTCACATACTGTTGGTTCACAGTAATATGTGCTCTGATAGTCTGTGCCTCTGTTGCTCCTGGGAAGCGTCGCACCTTTAGGATAATCAGCTCGAGTGGCTTTGATATCCCGGTGAATTTGATGTGCTGATGCTGCTGACAAGCCCTGGCAGTGGAACTCCCTGTGTGTCTGGATGTGCTGACAGGGCACGCTGCTCCTCTGCCCTGACAGAGACCATCCCTGAGCCAAGGCTCTGGGATTTTGGAAACAGCTCGTGCCTGGCCTCCTCTTTGACACGTGCCTGATGCTGCCCTTTAATGTTATGTAGAGGTTCTGTTTGTAAATCTGCTCATAAACATGTTGTGCTCCTTCTCATCCCCTCCCAGAGCCCACATCCCAAATTAAAACGAGTGTTGTATCATCTACAACTTGTTTGGTCGGTCCAGAAAGCACAATTTGCTGGTGCTGGTGTGAAATGGAGGGTGCTTTGGGCTGCTCTCGTCGTGGGGACACCTCGTGTGGAGCTCAGGTCCCTGACCTTGGTGGGGAGGAAGCTGTTGGCCCTCTCTGTCTTGTTGAGCTGCCTGTGTTGAGCCTCTGTTGAGCCTCTGCTGTGTGGAAACAGTTGTAACCAGCCGGTTTTTGGGGGGATGCAGTGTGAAATGCATTGTCCTTCCAGCTCTGGGAAGGCACAGCCTTAGAAGAGAAGCTCTCTAAATGAAGCTCTGTAGTTCTGCTGCTCTTACCTGGCCTCTGGAAAAGGGATTGGGGGATTCCTCTCTTCTCCATGGCTGTTGGACCAGCACACAACTGAGAGGTGAAAAGCCCTTCTTCTATGGGCTTTTGCAAGCTGTGAGCAGCCTCTGCCTGCTTGTGTCTGGTACCTGAGAGCTTTGGATGGCAGTAGGAGCTGGGTCTGTCTTAAAGCATCACAAAATGCTTCTGTCCATCTTTTTCCAGGATCCCTGAGCAGAGGGGTCACTTCTCAGTGCAGCCTTGGAGCTTGGCATCTTGTTCTAAATTGGGCACATCTTAAATTAGCCCCTGCAGTTCCTGTGGTGCACAGCAAGGCCTCAGCAATGTCCTTCCTTTAAATTGCTGGGGAAATAATCCTGCTCCGTGGGAGCAGAGGTGGTTGTTACTCCCTGCTGCAGGAGGAGGAGGAGGGAGCAATGCCCCGATGCTGCACAGAGCTGAGAGGGCACTGGGTGAGGAATTTATAGTGACACAAAAATGGCGTTTGGAGGAGAAATGTGAGGTCCAGGTGTCACCTGTATGTTCCTTCCTATGTTTGTGTTGTAGCTATGGAGGGTGTCAGTCTCCAGGAGCACCAGCCAAGCATTGCCTGTGAAAAGCAGGGAGTGTTGTTTGTGTCCCGTGGCTGGATATTGTAACTGGGTTGGGCTTACCTTTTGCTACTTCCTGGCCATCCACAAAAGACTTCCTAGCAGTGTTTTGGCAGGGAGAATGCTCTTCTGGGCTTCCAGTGTTGTCCTCCTTCCCAGCCTTCACCCCTCCCCAAATCTCTAGTTGTGGAGGAAGGATGCCTCTCTTGGAGCCTCACAGCTGCTCTGGACAGCTGGAGAACCTCACCTGGGAACCAAAACTCCTACTTTTTCCCTGAATGCCCTCTGCTCTCAGTACTGGCTCCTTCTCCCAGGTTCAGGGAGGGGCTACTGCAGCCCCTGTGCTGTGAGCTCTGGTGTTACACCAGAGTCAGAGCTAAACTCTGCTTTACTCATGGCTACGAGTCCACTACAGAGATCGCTTTTCACTTGGGTGCTTACATGGCTCACCTGGGGTCTGTCCTCATCCTTCCCCAAGTGCTGAAGCAGGACAGGGGTGTCTGTGGTCACAGAGTGGTTTTGGACTCGAGGTGTGGTGGAGCTGCAGGTGAAAGCTGAGGTGTCCTGCACAGGACAGCAGTCCTGCTCACCTGGAGCACCCGTGGCTTTGCCACCACCCTTGTCACACATCAGTCTGGAATACCTGGCTGTCCCTGTGCTGAAATGACCTTGCCCAGCTGGTTTGTTGGCTTGCTGGAGCAGCCCGGGCTGAGTCAGGGCAGGACTCGGAGCAGCCTCGAGTGCCATCGCTGCCAGTGAGACAGGGCCCGGAACGGGCTGGGCTGGGCTCAGCACGCAGATGTGAGGGGATGTGCTCCCTCCTCACGTGAGGGAGGGCTTGTTCTGTGGCTGCCTTCCCCCTCACCTGCTGCTGTTCCCACAGGAAAGGAAGAACGTGTGTTAGGCAGAGCGTAGAGCGTGTTTGGGAGCAGATGGCTTGGACTGGAAGGGGGGGGTGGATTCTTATTTTTATTTTTCCCTGTCCTCAGCTTGTATTGAGAAAGTGATGAGGATGCAGCCAGTGTCCTCACTCTGATCTCCTTGCAAAGAGCACGTGAAAGCTGAAATGAGAGCCCTGCCCTGTGCAGGGTTGGTGCTGAGACCAACCCTAATGCACTGAGCCCCAGTGCCATCTTTCAACCTGTCCTTTGGCTGGGGCTTAGTGCCTTTATTTGAGCACCATCCTTAGGTGCTGATACCCCACTGTTATCCAAGACTGAAAGAAATGTTAGGGAAAAGGGAACTGAAGTGCTCAGTGCAGTAGCTACTGACAGGTTTTATGGTTCAGATTAAAACTGGATTTCCCCCCCACTGCAGAAGTGCAGAAATTCAGCTCCTGGGCAGGGGCTGTGAGCCCACCATGGCTGGGGTTCCATGCCAGCAGCAAGGGCTGGGGGAGTGCAGTTTGGCTGGGAGGGATGGGACGGGCAGCTGAAGGCACTGCCCAGCCCTCAGAGGTAGTTGATCCCCTCCAGCCAGCACAGTTTGCCTGGGGGCTGCTGTTAATCACCAGGTTGTTTATTGGAGTGACCCACATCTCTGGATGTCTTTTCCCTCTGGTTGTTTTTGTGCAGGTGTCTAAATCTGGAAGTCCCTAAGCTGTCCCTTTCAAGTCCTTACAGCAATTCACCCTCAGCGTATCCTGTGACCACTCAAGCACCAGCGTACATCCAAAAACTCCCCCAAAACTCTGCTTTGCCACAGTCTCCAAGTTAGTTCTGTGCCAACCAGGAGATCACCTGTCCCACAACAGTGTATGCAGGGGTGGAGGGAAGAGGACCTTGTCTCATCCTCCTCACTGCCATGGAGGGAGGGCTTGCAAGGGGATGTTTCCCAATGCATCTGCCCGTTGCCTGTCAAGTTTCCAAGGCTGAACAGTGAGATGGTCTCTTGCTTCTCATCTACAACCTCTGTTTGCTACCGTGTGTGGTTGCAGGTCCTGCCACTCTGGTTGGCTTTCCCCAAACTTTAACAAACCATGTGACTGAGCAGCTCTGCCCTAAACTTGAACTTGGGCCTGACTGCACCTTCCTGAGCACACAGGACTTTTTGGGTGTCCCTGTGGGCAGTGGAGCCTCAAGCTGCGCCAGCACTGATGTGGTGGCACCTTCTGGGCATAGACTGCAGGTGTTGAGCCCAGGCTTCAGATGGCAGCTGAGTGCTCCTCCTGGTGCTGCTGCACTGTGCCAGGGCTTGGCATCAGCAGGGAAGGAAGCACTGATCCTGCTGCTGCTTTGCACCTCGCTCTCCTCCTCTTCCTCAGCTGGCTTTGTCCCACCAAGTGTGTCATGCTGTCCACTCTTGTCCCTGTTGCTGGTGGACAGAAGCTGGCTGGGCTGCCCCAGCTTCAGCAGCTGTACACCAGTGGAAACTGCTGTTTGTGTTCTGGCCTGACTGTATTCTCTGGAATAATGTTTGGAATAATGCTGGAGTTTGAGGTTGAAGCGCTCTGACGCGAGGAGGAGCGAGGCGGAGTGTTCCAAGTGCAGCCCTGCCGTCACGTTCCCGCAGTGGCAGTGGGAATGCTGCAGCTGGACTGTGCTGGTCGTGCTGCTGGAAACCTCTTTGGATGACTTGCCGAGTGGAGAGTGGTTGTTGCAGCAATTCCTGGTCTCTGCCAGCTCTTGCATCAGTGTCCTTCAGGGAAGTTCGCTTCCCTGTCATCGGGGATGCAAAGCTGATCTCATCAGAGCAGGCAAACTGAGAAACAGCTCCAGCATCTCTTATTTCTCCGTTGTTTACTCCAGAACCTTTGTGTGCAAAATAATTCCAAACGCACTGTGCTGAGCCTCCAGCTCTGCTTGATGTGGCACAGCCAGCTGCAGCTTAAACTTAAACAAACCCCAAACCAAAGCCAGCAAACTCCCCATCAAACCCACACCCAACCCCCAAACTGAGTGCCTGGCAGGTTTTGTGTCTCTCTCAAGTCAGGATTAGGGAGGCACGGCAGCACAGGCTGTTGTGTGTGCAGAACTTTTGAGGAGAGTTGTGTTTTTGTTGGGGTTTTACAAAGCTGGGGACTTAACTCTGCAAAGTTCTGGATTGCACTGGGCAGTTCTCACCACCCCTAATCCCTCTACAAAAGCTGTGCTTTTGTGGCTGTGGCCGTGTTCCTGAGCCCTGAGCGCACAAAGGTGATGTGAGCCCGGCAGTACAAAGCTGAAATGGGTGGAACCTTCTTTTAATAACTGGGATTAAAAGTTCCTCTGTGATTTTGTTTGTAAAAAGCAAGCAGGTTTCGCTCTCTGCAGGTCCCACCATGGCACTGGCCCCCTGTCCTGCTGTGGGGGTTTGGTTGGTTGGTTTGGTGTAGAAGCCTCATAGGAAAGCCCATGGAAAATGTCTCCTCCTCCTTCAGCTTTTGTTTCCAGCTGTTCCCTGGCGTGTTTTCCTCCCTCTCCTGGAACAGCAGAGCATCTTTCCATTGCACTTGAGAACAGCTCTGCTCTGAGCTGAGCTTTGGAGCTGAGCTTTTGGAACGTCGCAGTTTAAAATCTCATTTTTCTTTCCCTTTACCCCTCGCTGTCCCTGGCAGCCCCAGCTCAGCTCAGAGCACTCCAGGAGCGTTCTGTCATCCATGTTCCTGTGGGATTGCAGGCACAGGAGGAGGAGGGAAGCTCCAGTGTGAAAACCCTCGGCTCTGTTTTGCCAAAGGCTCTGCTGTGAGATGGGACTCACCTGCAGGAGAATCCCCTGGGGCACAGAGGGTGATGGCTCAAAGAGGTCTGTTTGCTTCTGCAAAAGCTGTAGTAATAGCAAGGTTGCAACATCAGCTCAGAGATTGTTGTTTGTTCCTATAGAGGTTCTCTTTGCTGAGAGCATTTCTATGTAGCCACAGCTTTTTAGATTTTCTTCCTCTTTTCTGCCTCATCTTTGTCTCATTTCCACCACCCCATTCTACACCATATTAGACAGTTTTAAAACTTTGACACCTGTTCTTCTAGAAATACAACCCCTGAAGTGCTTGATGTCCTGTGTGTGCTGTGCAGCATCAGCCATTGAATTTGGACAAAAATCCTCGTGCAAGTCAAACAAAATATTTGCTGTTTAAACCATCTGTGGTTAAGGAGGAGAGATGCAAAAAGAGGACACTGAAAGGCTGTGCTTAACTGGCAGTTTAATAGAAGGTTCTGTGCATCGCTGGGATAATCTCATTTTAAAGAAAATGCAGTTTTTAAAAAAAATTTCTTTTTTAGTCAACTTGTTTCCAGCCCATCTTCTGAGTTCCCTGGCACAGGGGATTTCTCGTGGCACTTCCCTCTCTGTGCAGCTGATTGCTCCTGCTCACCCCCAGTCCTGTTCACAGGAATTACCCTGTCCTGTTTCCTTCAGTACCAGCTGTAACAGTACCAGGCTGGAGCCTCTTTTCTCCCTAGTTCTGGAGGCTGACTGGACTGGAGACCAAAC